GGAGGGGGCTTTCCGACCACTCGCTCTGTTCACAACCGTCACCCCCTCCCCCACCTCCCCCTTCCCTGCTTTGATTTTCCCTGACACACTGATCCCCAGTGGACGCGTAAATTATTTACTTCTTTTTTTTCTTCCTTTTTCCCTCTTTTTTTTTTTTTTTTTTTTTTACCAACCCTTGTGTTGAGGACTGACGTTCAATAGATCGCAGGGAGGGAGCTGCTCTGCTAGGTGCCAAGCCCCAACCCAGAAGCAGGTCATCCACAAATGGCCAGGGGGCGCCCCCTTTCTGGCCGCACCCCGTTTATTTATCCTCTTTACTATCTGTCTCCCTCAGAACACCAGACCACGGGATCGCCAGTGCTTAGAACTGGCCGATAGTAGGTGCTCGGAATTCTTTTTTTTTTTTTTCCGTGAGGTTTTTTTTTAAAGAAAAAAAATTTTTTGGTTCTTTTTTTCTTCCCCATTAGTTCTGTTTCTGTGTTTTGTTTTGTGTGTGTGTGTGGTTTTGTATTTTTGTTTTTCATTTGATTCTTTTTTAGTAAATGCTTTTGAATGAGACTGAACTGTGGCAAATGGAGAGGAAGAAGGAGGTGGGATACAGCCTTTCCCCTCTTCTCATGGTGCCCAAGAGGGATACTGCCCACCCTGCCCACACAAAGGGGAATGTGGGGAGCACTTGTGCCCCCGCCCCCTCCCTTGGCCCTTGGCCCTCAGGGAGTAGTGGGTTGTGTTGTTTTTTTAATCAACTACTGAGAGTCCCTGAGAGCTGGGAGAGCCTCCAGTGGAGGGATTTGGCTTCAACTCTCCGCCTCTTATCTCCTCCACTCTATCCTCAGCAGGCCCAGTCCCTCCCTATGTGGCCCTTCAAGGCTCTCTGCCCCATTTTTTTTTTTAAGTTTGTGGGGTTTTTTTTTTGTTTTGTGTTTTTGTGTTTTTGTTTTTGTTTTTGCAAGAGGAAGGGAGAGGAAGAGAGAAGCATCAATATGAGAGTGAAACATTGATGGCTTGCCTCCTACACGCTCCCCGACCAGGGATTGAGCCTGCAACCTGGACATGTGCCTTCACCGGGAACCAAATTTGGTGCACAGGACGATGCCCAACCAACTGAGCCATACAAGCCAAGGCATTCTCTGCCCCATTTCTAAACGTGATCCTCATGGAAGAAGGTTTATGAACTAATTCTCACTAAGGTGTGAATGTCTGCCTTACTTTGATTCTTCCTTTGAGAGCCAAGGCATTCACAAAGGGACCCTAACCATGGACTCTTCTCTCTTACCTTCTTCTGCCCTGCTCTTTCAAAGTCTCCTGTCCCCACAGGGCACCTGAGTCCCCAGTTGTGGAAAGGCTCTCTGATGAAATCTGTGATTAAGAAAGCAGAGTCACCTGTGTTTGAATCCCAGTTCTGACACTTACAGGCGGTGTGGCCTTGGACACATTTCTGAACCTCTCTGATCCTCGGTTTCTGCATCTGTAAAATGGGGATAGTAATAATCTCATCTACCTTAGAAAGTGTTTTGAGGATTCAATCATTAACATGGAGCTTGGTAGATGGTTAATGGTGTCTGGGCTAGTTCTGGCTGTGAACTGCCTGCCCCTCTCTCAGATGGCTGCATTTTGCCCAGGCCCTTTTCCCCCAGCCACTGGGCAGGTGACATCACCCCCTGGTGAAGGAGAAGACCCGGTGGGGTGGGGTGGGGGACTGGCTGTCGAGGGGCCATCAAGGCACTGTTGTCAGGGCAACACCGGGTGTCTGTCTTGACGGAGCTGCTGCCACCTGAGACAGGAGGCTGGCGATGGGGCACGTTTGGGGGCACACAAGATGCTTGTTGGGTGGGTGCCGCAGAGCCTGGTGCCAGGTCTCCTGGGCTCCTCAGCCCTCGGGGCCAACAGCCTGGGGCACCGTGCTGGGCCAGGGCTGTGCCTCTGTGTCCTGTGCCTGGCAGGAGAGGTGACGGCCAGGTGCTCAGTAAATGCTGCTTTTTTTTTCTTTTTCTTCTTCTTTTTTTTTTGTCACTTTTTAAATTTTTTGTCTTTTGCCTTTTTTCATTAGTCCTGTTTCTGTCTTTTTTGTTCATTTGATTTTTTCTTTTGTAGTAAATGCGTTTGAATGAGACTGAACTGTGGCAAATGGTGAGGAAGAAGGAGGTGGGGTGCAGCTTTCCCCCTCTCCTGAGGGGAACCCTAATCCTGTGCTCACTAGTCTCACTAGTCGGGGGCCCTTGATAAAGCCCTTACCCCCTCCCCAGGGCCCCACTTCCTGTGTCTGGACCGTGCGCAGCCCCCGCCAGGCCTGGGGTGAGGCTGCAGGGAGGACCCGGTGCTCTCGGAGGCGAAGGGGAGTGAGCTCAGGGGCAGCTGCGTGGTCACAAGTGGCCCTTTGGCCTTTGATTACAGATGGGGAAACTGAGGCCAGAAAGGCCGCCTCCTCAGGCCCCCGGCTGCTGCCGAGACCCAGCGCCATAGCTCCAGTCCTTTCCTTCCAGACTCCTTTCACCCTCGGGACTGTCTCCTGTGGGTGGGGGAGGGGGGCCGAGGCACCCTGGGGAGGCCGGGGCATGGAGGGAGCGCAAGGTGGGGGCCGCCTACCCCACGCCCCACAGTCCAGTGTCACCGCCGAGCCTCCCGCAGTCCTGATTTCCTTTATGATCCCCGAATCCCTGGAAGCACGCCCTCCCGCCGATCCAATTACAATTACCGAGTGCCGTGTCTGTTTGCAGTAGTGAGCCGGCTGGTGGGGAGGCCAAATTAGTGAAGCCAGCGTGGGTTCCTAGGTGGGCAGTAATGAAGATCGGCAACGTGTTGAATGGCAGCCCCCGCTCACCTGGGCTCCAGGGCAGGGCCGGCAGGTGCTGGGAGGTTGAGGTGGGAGCCCTCAGGCAGCTCCTCAGGTTGTGGGGCTGACCCCGTGGTCATTCCAGACACCAGTCCTCCCGGCGGACAGCCCCTGCCACTGGGGGTGGAGGGCAGGAATGGCCGGGGAGGGGTCCAGGACCAGGTGTGCACCATCCTGCCTTCTAGCCCCCCCCCACCCCAGGTCTAGACTATTTCAGGGAGTTCAGTCTTAATAGGAAGCGACTTCTTTGGATCTGGCCAGGAAAACACACCAAGCCCTGAAGCCCCAGCAACAGGGACCACGGGGGTGAAGGCTTTGATGCAGGCGGGGGGTGGGGGGGGTGGCGGGGAAGAGCAGGGCTGCAGCCACCTGATAAGATGAGGGAATGGTGCAGTGGGCCTTCCCTAGACCCCTGACATTTGCCAGGTCCCACAGCTTCCAGGACACGTCCCTTCCTTCCCCCACTCCACTTCCATTCATCCCCCCCCCCATCATCTATACACATCAGTCTCTCACCTTGTCCCAGCAGAGGGGGGGCTGGGATCGCTCTCCCCTCCATTCTCTTTGCCTCCTCGGGTCTCTGGGCAGTGGGTGACAGGATCAGTAGCGAAAGGTGACGCCAGAGCTTGGGAACCCACCCCCCACGACTCGCCTCTGAGGCTGTGACGATGGACGCAGGCCTGTGGGACAGGGTGATGACCAGACAGAGGCCCCTGCCACTGGAGGGACTCAGGGCCATCGGTGAGCTCGGACTCTGAAGACTGACTGGCAGGGTGGCAGTGCCCAGGCTGTACCCCCCACCGCCTTGCACAGGTGTCCACGTGCCAGGTGGCGGACTCGCCATCTCCGCGACGGGTGCCCACGGCGGCCCGGTGTGGCCCGCCCCCGACCTGAGCAGCTCTGTCCTCTTCACCCACAGGCTGCGCAGCCCCTGGGTGCCCTCCTGCCTCGGGCAGTCCTGCACACTGCAGGGCCGACGGACCAGGTCCTCGCCCTCGCTCTGGGACAGGTAACAGCCTGTTGTCTCCCTGGGCCCCTGGGGTCTCTGTATCTCTCCCCGCAGACGTGGTGCCTTGTCTGCGTCCACTCCCCAAGACAGGTGGGGGGCCCAGAGGGGGCAGGGGACAGACACCAGCACTCCCCCCCTGGCCTCTGCTCCTTTGGTGCCGCCAGTCTGGGAGGTCAGGCCCCCGGGCCCCAGAGCTCAGGCCCCCTCCTCTCCCAAGGGCTCTCCTTAGGCTCCAACCTCTTCTGAGCGGCCGGAAGGGGCTCCTGGTGGAAGCAGGAGGGGTGCTTCTTGTGCCCAGTGAGCTTAACATGGCACCTACCCCCCCCACACACACACACACCCAGCCACCACCCCCCGCCCAGCACACCAGGCAGGTCCGGTCAGATCCTGCTGTCACTCCCCAGGACGCAGGTGAAGCGAGGTGACCTCTCCAGGCCCACTGGAAGGGCGCCCTGACCGGGGGGCGTGGCATTGGCTGGACCTCCACACCCTCCCTGTGCATTTAGGAGTCTGTTTCCAGGTGCCAGGGCCCAGAGCCCACTCCCAGGAGGATGCAGAGCTGCTGGGGCCTGGGCTGGGCAATCCCCCATATTCCCAGCGGCCTGGAGGCCCCACTTCCACACGGGGTCTGCCTCTGGCGTCATCTCTCGGTGGTTCTAATGGCCCAGGGAGGTGCAGGGACCGCAGTGGCAGCCCTGCTCCCCAAGTGTGGGCACACGCACCCCTGTTTTACTGGCGTGAGACAGGCTGAGGCCAAGCAGAGCTCAGGTTAGTGCCCTGGGAGGGGAGGGCCATTTCTGGACCAGACCAAGAGGGGCACATCCAGAGCTTTCAGAAGCTTCGCCCCAGGAGATGGTGATGGGCTGTGAGTGGCGAGGGGCAGGAGGGGGTCCCCAGACCTTCCATGGTCAGACTGGGGACTGTGGGCACCCAGCCGTGACCTTCCCGGGTCAAAGAGTGGTCAGCGATGGACACAATGAGGGTGAGGTTAGGCCTGAGTTCGCTCTGATGGAGGGTCCTGGGTGGCGAGCAGGCAGTGGGGCTGTGGGGGTCGTGGGGGGGAGGGAGGAGGGTGTGCTACCAGCCTAGGATTGGCCAGGGTGCAGTTTGGAGGGGGCTGGGTGTCAGGGGCTCAGGGAGGGTGGGAGCAGCATTTGAGGGTTGGTGGGACAGAGCCGACCAGTACGTCTGGGAAGCCATCCCCAGGCCAAGGGTAAACTGAGGCTCAGCAGGCTCCGGGAAGCCGGTTGCCTGGTGCGTGAGGAGGAGATCTGGGCCCAGGAGCCCCTTGGGTGGTCTCGGCTCTGCCCAGAGCCCACCTCACAGCTGTCATTTTCTTCCCACACTTGCCTCGTTGGCGTTGGCGGACCTGTTCCCTCTGATCGTGTCTCCCCTGAGGCTGCGGGCTCGGTGGGGCGGGAACTGTGTTTGTCTCACTGGCTGCTGGGCGAGGCGGGGCAGCGGAAGGGGAAGGACAGAGGGTGACGTGGGTGCGTGGGTGTGTAGGTGATGCAGCTGGGTCACAGCAGGAGTGGGCAGCCTGCACGATGGTAGGGACCCAGCTGTGCTTGAGGGTAGGTAGCCAAGGCTGGGGAGGTGAGGTGGCTGGGGAGGTGAGGTGGCTGGGGAGGTGAGGTGGCTGGGGAGGTGAGGTGGCTGGGGAGGTGAGGTGGCTGGGGAGGCGAGGTGGCTGGGGAGGTGAGATGGCTGGGGAGGGGAGGTGGCTGGGGAGGTGAGGTGGCGGCTCGGAGAGGCAGGGAGAGGGCTGCTGTGGGCACCGGGGATGGGGCAGGGCTGGAGTGAGGGGCACAGGGAGCTGGGATTGCAGGTCTCGGAAGTGCGAGGGGCCGAGGGGCTGGAGGCGGATCAGTGATGGCGCAGCGGGTGGCTAGCGGAGAGGGCGGGCTATTCATGCCGGGTCTTTATCTCCTGAGCCCGGGGCTCAGCTTCCTGGGGTCTTAGAGGGGCCTCCAGTCTGTGGGGAAATAGAGCCTCAAGAGCTGGGGCCCTGGAAGTCTTTCTGGAGGAGAGGGGACGTGAGTCCCCCTCCCCGAGTGCCCCGCGCTGTGTGCAGCTAGCTGGCCACCTTGGTGGGCACGGCACCCCCCCCTCTCCCTTGCCCAGAGATCAGACATACGGCCTGTTGGGGCCACGCAGCCAGTTTGGGGGGAAAGGCTTGGTCACCCAACGCCGTGGAGAAGCAAAAGTGGGGACCCTTGTAAGATTGCCATCCGGAAGTCGGCTTCATAAGGTGGGTGCTGACGGGCGCTCCCTTCTCTGGGGTCCTGTGAGCCGCCCCGAACCCTGGCCGGGCTCTGTGGTCGACAGGTGACTCCCCACGGACTTGCTTCCCACGACGCGGGGAGTGATGCTAGAGGCGCAGGGACTGCAGGGCCGGGCTGGCTCCGGAGTCACTGACCCCAGGGGCCCTCTGCCTGGGGCCGCCCGCTGCGAGGAGTGTGTGTGTGTGTGTGTGTGTGTGTGTTCGCGCGCGCGCGCGCGTGTGCGTGTGACGATGTGTGGGTGTGCGCGCGCGCGCGCGCGAATGTGTTAGTGCAGCCGGGCGCACGCGGTGCGCACCCACGGGGCGCCCGGCTGGCCGCGCGGGGCCTCGGCTCCCGGCTCAGCGCCGCGGCCCGGCCCCGCCCCGCCGCGTGTCTTTGCAGCGTGTTGCAGGAGCAGAAGAGCGAGCTGCGCAAGCGGCTGTCCTACACCACGCACAGGCTCCAGAAACTCGAGAGCGAGTTCGGCTCCACGCGCAGCTACCTGGAGGTCGAGCTGCGGCGCGCGCAGGAGGAGCTCGAGAAGGTCACTTTGAAGCTGCGCAGGTCAGGGTACGGGCCGGGCGGGGAAGGGTGGGTTTGGGCGCGGGCGGCTTACAGGTCGGTCTGGTCTGCGGCGCGCCGAGCTCTGCCTCCCGGAGCCTTTGGAAGACGGGGCGTCCAGGGTCCAGTGAGGGTAAGCTCTTTTCTCCGAAGTCTTCCTTGTCCCGAGAGCTACTGAACCAGGACCTGAGCCCGGTCTGGCCCCGCAGGGACGGGCTCCTTCCCCTTCCCCATCCCTGCTCCCTCCCTCCTTCCCCACATACTGATGGGGGTGACAGCAGCACGACAGGGAAGCTGACCGCAAAGAGAATGCAAACTTTGCTGTTGGCTGTTTATTTTGGTTTTGTATTTTAAGATTTTTTTTATTGATTTTGAGAGAGAGAGAGAGAGAGAGAGAGAGAGAGAGAGAGAGAGAGGAGGCACAGAGCACCTGATTCCTACCCAGCGCTGGCCTCCGACGTCACCCTTCCTCCCGGACCGTGTCATATCACCGTGTGTCGCAGCACTCACCCCAGGGCCCACCCCACGGTCTTAAGTCTCTTCCCAGCTGAGCTACGATAGAACAGAGCCCCCTCTCCAGGCTTGCGAGCCCCGGGTGTGAAACGTGAGTCAGCTGGCTCTGCGGGAGGACCCGCAGTCTCTTCGAATAACAGGACTTCCCTCTGTCTCCAGGGGTCCTGGCCCCTCGTCCAAGAAAGGCCTCTGAGTTAGCTTTAATCGGATGTTCTGCTGCGTGTGGAGGAGCAGTTAGACCAGGGCAGGGCCAGCGGGTGGGCTCGGGGCCGTTGTTCAGCCTGGCCCTGCTCAGCAGATCGTGTGGCCGGTGGGGGGCCCGGCCAGGCACCAAAGTGGCTCCTTTGCCTCCCGTTCCAGGATTCAAAGCAACTACATGTCGCTGCAGCGGATCAACCGGGAGCTGGAGCAGAAGCTGTACCGCATGGTGAGGGCCACCCCCCGATGCCCACTGCCCCCAGCACCCTCGTCCCTGGGCCCCCAGCTCTGGCAGGGCACTGCCAGCCTCGCTGTCATCCCCTTGCCCAGGCAGAAGCTGGGTCACACGCCTTATTTCCTGACACACAAACGCCTCGCTGGGGTGCACTGAATGGAGGGTGCCCTCAGGAAGGGGAGGCGCAGGGTTCAGACCCCTTGAGCTCAGTGGCAGGTGTGAGCGCCTGACCTGGAGGGGTGTAGGCAGGGGGTGGGGGAGGGCTTGACGGGACAGCAACCTCAGCTCAGCGTCAGCCAGAGACGGAGACGCAGGCCCTGAGTGAGCCAGAGCCAGGTTCACTCCCCAACTGTACCCCTCATGGGACCCGTTCCTCGGAATGTGGCCCCAGGGGGCCTCGACCCTCCTGGACTCACACACACACACACACACACACACACACACACAGGTCTGCAGTAACCTTGGCAGTGCCGCCTTCCCTCTGTTGATCGGGCTGGCACGACCTGGGTTGGAGAGTAGAGAGGCTATGCGAGCCTCCTGGTGCCCCCCCGCCCCACCTCAATGGGAGGACTTTCCTCTCTGTCTAGTTTGGGTACAAGGTTCTTCGGTTTTGGGAAATCAGAAATGGGTGTTCGGCGCCTGCTTGCCTTCCAGGTACTGTCAGAGCCGTGGCCGTGGCGGGGCTGGCTCTGCCTGGTGCCCTGGACCAGGGCCCCTGCCTTTCTGAGCCTTGGCTTCCCAGTCTGTTGGATGAGATAGGTCAGGCTCCTTGCTGGGCGAAAGGCATCCTCGCTCAGTCCTCGCCCCGGATCCCCAGGCGGCCGGGCCTTGCTCTCCTGTGTCCAGATGAGAAACCGGGGCTCAGGGAGGCAGGCTTGCCCGATGCCATCTGGCTCGTCAGTGGTGGAGTAGGATTTGAACCTGGGGTGGTCTGTGCGCTTACCCCTGCGCTCCGGGGCCCTCCAACGCCTGGTTGTTAGGGGCTGCAACAGGGCACACAAGAGGCCTAAGGGAACAAGGGGGCGTGAGCCCCAGGCCTTGGCTGACCACTGACCGCCTCCGTCCCCTGCCCTCCCCCTGCCCAAGGGCAAGCACTACGACGAGGAGAAGCGAGCTCTGAGCCACGAGATCGTCGCTCTCAACAACCACCTGCTGGAGGCCAAGATGACCATCGACAAGCTGGCCGAGGACAACGTGAGTGTCAGGCTATTTTGGCCCCAAGGGGCCCAGGCTCAGGTTTGAGGGGCAGGCACGGGGCACAGGGGCAGGTGGGCAGGCCTCCAGCAGTGGCTGGGCAGCCGGGAAGGCAGGGCTGCCTCACCAGACACACTGCCAGGGGCGGAGACAGGAACACTGGGCCATAGTTTCTCATTCAAGTCAGGGCTTCCCGACTCCAGGGTTAGGGCATGGCCATTCTCAGTGGGCACACGGCCACATGCCCACCCATGGGGACTCCCCAGAAGATGGGCCTGGCCGCCCTCCATGGATCCCTGGCCACGGACCATGCATCCACTAATTAGCATCTGCTCCTCGACAGACCTCCTGAGCTGAGAATATTGTGTGAACGACACAGGCAAAAAATTCCCTCCCCACGTGAGTGTACATCTGAGTGGGGAAGACAGGCGACAAACAAGAGAAACGCAGACGCTGTAGTGTGTTAGAAGTGCTAAATGCTGCTGAAAAAATTCAAGCAGGCACGGGGCTGGGGAGCTGCCCGTTGCAGGGTTAGCAAATTTCAGTAGGATGCTTGTGGAAGAGGCTGCTGGAGCCCAGACCGGAAGGGGGCGAGGGAGCTCGCCGGGTGGCTGATTGGAAGAACAGCAGAGAGACCGGAGTGGGCTCCTCGTCGGGGAGGACCAGGGTCTGAGATCAGAAAGATAACGGGAGGCCACATCATACAGGCTCCTATAGGGACCCGGGTTTTATTCTGAGTGACATAGGGAGCCACTGAAGGTTCTTGAGCAAAGGAGTCACCTGAGTGGATGTCCCGCTTTTACTGGGAACACACTGTAGGGATGAGGGTGGGAGCAGGGAGGGCGAGGAGGGGGCTATGGTAACAGTCCAGGGCAAGCTGTGGAGGCGTGGCCGGGAAGGCAGCAGGAGGTGGGCAGCAGGGCTTGGTTCTGGTTCCGCTTTGAAGATGGGAAGAAGCAACAGGATTGACAGAGGTCTCAGATATGGTGTGAAAGGAGATGGGTCCTGTCATTTCCTGCTGGGGGGCGGGCACCTGGGGAGGGGCAGGGGCTGGCTTCAGCAGTTACATCCAGTGGCAGTGCTGTGAAGACCTCAGGCATGCAGGTCAGCCTTTGGGGCGGAGTCAGCCTCCTGAGGTGTTTGCACGGCCAGCCGGCTGAGGAACCCGAGGAGCGCACCAGACGAGAAGAGGGCGGGCCCAGGACGGTGCTTTTCGAGTCTGCTAAAGGCCAGGTGGTGCCCACAGCCCTCTGATGCCAGGGGCAGCCTGTCCGGGGCCTCACAATGAGGCCAGTTCTCAGCTCTCAGCCAATGGTGCCCTTCCCAGGAGGCCCTTCAGCCTTGAGAAGGCTGGAGACCCTGGTTCCCTCCACTGTGCAGCCGAGTTGGGGCACCAGCAGCACAGCAGGGGGCGGTGAGGGGCACGGGGGGTTGGGGCAGGGGAGTAGCAGCGGTGACCCTACCTTCAACAGATTGCCTGAGCTGCAGGCACCCAGTCCTGATGACAATGGCCCATCAGTGGACCCCAGACTCCTCAGTGCCCGGGCCCTCACTGTGGATGGTCCCTGGATAAGGGTGGGAATAAAAGGCCCAGCCACAGGCACATGCAACAGAGATTTTCCAAAGACACAACCAAATCCCCTGATTCCTACTGTTTGCATCTGTTTTCAGCTCAGGAGGCTGAGAGGGTCCCCACCTGGACCTTGGGCCACACAGCCCCTGTGCCCCAGCCCTGCAGCCACCCCCTGCCAGGGCACTCTGAGAGCAGGGTGTGAGCGGGGAGTCAGACGGAGGTGGCAGGGCTGCAGGCTTGAGCCTGGCATCTCGGGGCTGCCCCTCCACTGAGTTCTTTGCTAGGACTCATGCCTGGGCCTCCCGGAGGTCTGGGGCCATGGGGGCCCTTCTCCCGCTGCCCCCACCTGGTGAGGCTCCCACCTGGGGCAGCACCCCTCCACGCACCAGCAGCTCCAGGTCAGAGCTGAGCCCCCATTCTGCAGGCAATGGCAGAGGCCCAGGGAGGGTCCTTGTCCTGTGAACTGCACATCGGCTCCGCCCACCGCTTTCTGGTCAGGGTGGCAGGGCCTGGCGGGGCAGCCTGGGCCGACGCCTTCTCTTGTCTTATAGGAGCTCTATAGGAAGGACTGCAATCTAGCGGCCCAGCTGCTGCAGTGCAGCCAGACCTACGGCAGGGTCCATAAGGTGTCCGAGGTAATGTGAGCCCTGCCCTGCTAGGTCCCCCTCCCCCCCGGGGCCACTCGGGGCTCCTCTGTGCAGGTCCCACCCGAGGCCACCCCTCAACACCCCTCCTCACCGGCCTGGACAGCCTGCGCATCCCCCTCGGGGTCCTCGCCCTGTGCCAAGCCCCCTATCCACTGAGCGACCTCTGTGAGCCTCGCAGAAACCCTGTGGTTGGTCTGGGCACAATGACTGGCAGTGCCCGTTTCAGAGACAAGAGAACCGGCTGCACACGGAAGTGACGCAGCCAAGGCCACAGGGCTCTCTGATGCCAAATCCAGGCTGGTCCAGGGCCCACCACCCTGGCCAGCTGCCCCTCCCCTTCACCCAGACCTGTCCTTGTCCCCTCTCCCCGGGCCCGGGCCACACCGGAGACACTCACAAAACAGATCAAACAGTAGTGGACGTCCCCGCAGACACCAGGCACTGTGCTACCACCTCTGGGCGCCTGGCCCTGGCCCTCAATCTTCGCTGCATGTGATTCTGGGTCTGTCTGGTTCAGCAGCACTGGACGCAACAGGGAGAAGCAAGTCAGCCCCTCGGTGGGAGGAAATGTGGGGGAGGGAACTGTCACCCAGAGAGAGGCCGAGTGAGACCCTGAGACCCTGGTTCCAGCGTCCGGGGCTCCGCGGGGTCTAGTCGAGCGGGCTGGGGGGCCAGGTGCCCAGGGGAACTCGGGCGAATCCAGGAGCTTCCCAGGCCCGGCTCCAGCTGGTGCCACGTGAGGGCCTGGGGGGCAGGTCCCTCCGGGTTCTTCTGCCTGTGTGTGCGTCCTAGGCTGACTTGCCCCCTGGCCCCCCTCCCCCGTCCCCATTCCAGCTGCCCGCGGAATTCCAGGAGCGCTTGAGCCTGCACCTGGAGAAGCACGGCTGCAGCATGCCCTCCACGCACTGCCGCCCGGGCAGCGTGCCGCTCTGCGTCATTGCCAAGGTGCTGGAGAAGCCGGAGCCCAGCAGCCTGTCCTCCCCCCTGTCGATGTCGGTCTCGGTGTCGGATGCCTCCACCCGAGACCTGGGCTTCCGGGAGGGGATGCCCAAGTCGAGCCTGCTGCCCCCCTACAAGGAGGATGCCTACTGCAGCGACTCGGCCCTCTTCTGCCCCGAGAGCCGCGACCGCGACCGGCGGCCCAGCGTGGACGCGGTCGCCAGCGATATGAGCTTCCTGCAGACCCAGAATTCCACCGACAGCGCCTGCGGGGAGGAGGAGGCCGGGGCGGCGGCCTACCCCGAGGCCTACCCCGAGGAGTTCCGGCGGGAGGCCTTCCCCGGCTACACGGCCTCGCTGCCCACGTCCAGCTCCTACTCGAGCTTCAGCGCCACGTCGGAGGAGAGGGAGCACGGCGAGGCCAGCACCATGACCGCCTCGCAGCGGGCCGTCTACCTGGATAGCCGCGAGCAGCTCTTCCAGCGCCAGCCGGCCCCCACCTACCAGAGCAGCCGGCCCTATGCCAAGGCCTCGGGGGCCCTGCTGGAAGCCCCAGTGCCCCCAGAGTTCGAGCTCGAGACGACCTTCCCCTCCCACCAGGCTGAGCCCTTCAGCCTCCAGGCCGTCCCCAAGACCCTGGTGTCTCCCAACCTGTGGAGCCTGCGGGCCAAGTCCCCGTCGTCCCGCATGCCCCGGGGGGAGGCGCGCAGCCCGCGCGAGCAGTGGCGCCCCGTGCACGTGGAGGAGATGGGGGCCCACGCCTTCCCGGTCCCCTCGCGGCGACTCTCGCCCCGCAGCTTCTCCCAGCGCCACTACGCCAGCGTGGCGCATGGCCGCGCCAGCCCCCTGTACGCCAGCTACAAGGCCGACAACTTCTCGGAGGATGACGACTTCTCCCAGGGCCACCTGGCCGAGTCCTGCTTCCTCGGGGCGTGCGGCTCTGCCAAGCCGATGCCCAGCTACGCTGCCAGCGAAGATGATGGCGACAGGCCCCAGGGCCAGCTGTGCGGGGTGGCCAGCCCCGAGCCCGACAGCCTCTTCAGCTCCAGAGATTCCTTCGAGCCCAGCTCCATGGAGGGTTCCCCTGAAATGCATCCCGCGGCCCGCCGGAACCCCCAGGCAGCCTTCTCCCGGAGCCGGAGCTCCGGCCTCAGCCGCAAGGATAGCCTCACCAAAGCCCAGCTCTACGGAACCCTGCTCAACTAAACGCCTGCCCACAGGCCACGGCCACGGCCGGGGGCACCCGCCGCCCACTGTGCAATCTAGGGCGCTGCCCCACCTATCTGGACACTTACTCCCCCGGGCACTGCCCACAATGACTCCTCTCCCTCTTACTGACCCCTCTCTGCCTCGAACTGACCTCTCTCCCTCTTACTGACCCCTCTCTGCCTCAAACTGACCCCTCTCCCTCGTACTGACCCCTCTCTGCCTCATACTGACCCCTCTCCCTCTTACTGACCCCTCTCTGCCTCATACTGACCCCTCTCCCTCTTACTGACCCCTCTCTGCCTCATACTGACCCCTCTCCCTCTTACTGACCCCTCTCTGCCTCAAACTGACCCCTCTCCCTCATACTGACCCCTCTCTGCCTCATACTGACCCCTCTCCCTCTTACTGACCCCTCTCTGCCTCATACTGACCCCTCTCCCTCTTACCCCTCTCTGCCTCATACTGACCCCTCTCTGCCTCATACTGACCCCTCTCTGCCTCAAACTGACCCCTCTCCCTCTTACTGACCCCTCTGCCTCTTACCCCTCTCTCCCTCTTACTGACCCCTCTGCCTTGTAGTGACTTCTTTGACTTGTAGTGTCTCTCTCTCCCTTGTAGTGGACCCTCTCTCCCACAGTGACCCCTCTTCCACAGTGACACCCTTCCCACAGTGACCCCTCTGCCTCGTAGGACCCCTCTCCCACAGTGACCCCCCTCCCACAGTGACCCCTCCCTCGTAGGACCCCTCTGCCTCGTAGGACCCCTCTCTCACGTAGTGACCCCTCTGCCTTGTAGTGAACCCTCTCCCACAGTGACCCCTCTCCCTCGTAGGACCCCTCTGCCTTGTAGTGACCCCTCTCCCACAGTGACCCCTCTCCCTCGTAGTGACCAGTGCAGCCTGAGAAGAGGACCCCTGTGATGTGTGACCCCAGCGCCACCACGACGGAACTCCCCGAGGACGTTTCTCACACCAACATCGCTCCCCACCCGAGACGAGCATTCCCCCCTTTTATAAAGTGAAACTATTTTTCTAGAGATAAAGGGTCTTTCTCAACGCACGTGGCCTCCAGCTCCCTGGATGGCAGCCTTGCGTTTCCAACACACAGCTCCTGTTTTCCGGGCGAGGACATGTGGGGCCTGGCCCTTGGAGGGAAGGACAGTGTCGACACCTCGAAAGCCAGCGACAAGGAAACCTGGAGCTCTGCCCACAAGGAGGGGAACCCGCGGGTGAAGGGACGTGAGACGTCGTGAACTGTTTCCGTGTGCGGCTGACCCGCACCCAGCTCTCCCGTGGTCGTCGTCCCGAGTCGGGCCGGTGCTCATCCCCGTTCCCGGTGCTCGTCCCCGTGTCCCGCTGCCCGCACCACCTGGCTCTACCTCAGCCGTAAAGAGCCTCTCGGACTCCGACCCCCGGCCCCCGACCCCCGGCCCCCGTCCCGTGGCTTGCTCTCCTGTCGTCTGTGATGCATGCCGTCCAGTCACTACTGTATTTGACACTCACTAATAAACGTGGTGGAAAGCATGCGGGCTTGGGCTGTTTCTCCTCCCCCCTGCCTTTTGACCTCTGGGACCTGTGGCCCTCAGTGTCGTCCTTTCCCATACGGCCTTGTCCCTTGCCCCCTGCAGCCAGGACTGGCTCCCGAGAGCTCCCCCCCACCGGTGCCTTTGTCGAAAGTCTGAATTCCTCCACTGCCCAACCCGCTAGACGTGACCACTGCCCTGGCAGCCAGTGTTCCCACACGCGCACCCCATCCTTTCCTGTGTGTCCGACTTCGCTCCTTTACTGGGGCTCTGTGAGTGACAGACACCCCCGTTTTCATTGCTCTGCAGACGTCCTCGAGGGCGCTCTCACCGGGGAGCGTGTTAGCGGCGGCCACTCTCTCTGCACTCGGGGGTTAGGGTCCCACCGCCCTGTCCCCCCCCCCCCCCACCCCGGGCTGTTCCTCTGGTGGGTCATCTGCCTAGGTCTTCCCTTTGACTGGGTTTTCTGCAGTTGCCCTGAGATGCGTCTGCTTACGGATTTGTCCTTCTCGGGAATTCGCAGTCTTGTGTCTGCAGGTGGTCTTTCATCAGTTCTGGAACATTCTCAAGTATTATTTTGGATGGCATGTCCCTGCCACTCTCTCCCGCCCCTCCTCCTCACTGCATCCTCCATCTGGCGCCCTTCGCTGACCCACAAGCTCCGTGTGCACCGTCCTCACTGCTCCGCCCCTCTCGTGCCCACTCGGCCACCAAACAGTCACCGGCTTTTCGTTTTAGCCGTGAATGTTCTCCATTCCTACACGCTCTATCTGGTGGTTTGGCAAACCCAAGAGGCTACTTCCTAAGTGTCCTACTCCCTGGAGGCAGGTCCCCAAACTCAGTGGGCACAGCGGTTCGCCATCTGGCCTGGCACTTCTAACCCGCGGGGTCTGTTTCCCTTGGTCCCTGCCCAAGTGGCTTCATTTCTCCGGGTGCCTGGTTATCTTTGATGCCCTGAGGATGCTCTTACAGGTTCTTCAAGACCTGGGATGGGGGCCCCTCCCCAGGGGCTTCATGGTCCCTCCTTCCAGGGCCAGCCACTTCCCACTGGGGACCACCTGGCCCGGTGCTGGCCTTCAAGTTCCCTGGCCTGCCCAGCTTCACTGTCCGGGGTGGGTTTGCCTCTTGCCAGGCAACCCCAAGTGGGAGGGGCCTTGGCAGTGATCCCAGCATCCCTGCCCTTGACCCACAACTGCCTCCCCCAGGGGCAGATTCACCCCAGGAAGCAGCCTCCCAGAGTCAGAGGGGGTTGTGGAGAGGCTCAGGGGCTGTTATCCATGGGCAGATGGAGGAAGCGACCCTCACTGGACTGGGGGAGGGGGGTTGGGGGCAACTAGGAGGGCGGAGGGGAAGAGAGCAGCCCCTGGCACCCAGTGGGTTCTCTCTCAGATGCCTTCCCATGGGGAGCCTGAGCCTCATCAGCCCCCCACCCCCTGTGTCAGCCATGCGACACAGCAGCAAGGCTGAGAACCCTAAGGGCTACGCAGCCTTGGCCCAGAGCCCCCCTAAGATTCAGGGTCTGGCCCCACATCGCCTCAGAGCCTAAAGTGCCCTCCTTGCCTCACAGAGCTGTCTCTAGCGGCCCCCAAAGCCAGCTGCCCTGGTGTGGGGTACCCGCTTCTACCAACCCCCTTCTCCCCACACCCGGAATCCTGCCGCACCAGGGGAACCCTGTCCGTGCACCTACCATCTACCTACCTGCCACGGGTGTTCCTCCTCAATCCCACGGGCAGCGCAGAGTGGACGGTGCCACCAGCTGGCCACGCGACTCTGTCTGGGCAAGTTCCAGATGCCGCTGGTCCAGTTCCCCCAGGCCCTCCACGGTGACGGTCCCATGCGGAGCCCCAGCTGGGACAAGGGGCTCCAAGGGAGGGAAAGGCACAGGCTCTGGACTCAGATGGCCCTGGCGCGTCCCTCCGCCCTCCCAGCAGCGGTTTCCTCAACTGGACAGACAGATCATGGCCCCCTCATCGGAGCTGCGAGCATGAGCTCCACAAGCCACGGCCAGGCCTGCAGCACACGGAGCCACGGCCAGGCCCCAGCACACGGAGCCACGGCCAGGCCTGCAGCACACGGAGCCACGGCCAGGCCCCAGCACACGGAGCCACGGCCAGGGCCCAGCACTCAGTGTCACGGCCAGGCCCCAGCACACGGAGCCACGGCCAGGCCCCAGCACACGGAGCCACGGCCAGGGCCCCAACACACGGAGCCACGGCCAGGGCCCAGCACTCAGTGTCACGGCCAGGCCCCAGCACACGGAGCAACGGCCAGGGCCCCAACACACGGAGCCACGGCCAGGGCCCAGCACTCAGTGTCACGGCCAGGCCCCAGCACACGGAGCCACGGCCAGGGCCCCAGCACACGGAGCCACGGCCAGGCCCCAGCACACGGAGCCACGGCCAGGCCTGCAGCACACGGAGCCACGGCCAGGCCCCAGCACACGGAGCCACGGCCAGGGCCCCAACACACGGAGCCACGGCCAGGGCCCAGCACTCAGTGCCACGGCCAGGCCCCAGCACACGGAGCCACGGCCAGGCCCCAGCACACGGAGCCACGGCCGGGCCCAGCACTCAGAGCCACGCCGGCACCTCCAGATGAGGGGTTCTTCCCCACGACAGCCTCGGGCCGGCCGTGCAGACGTATGAGCGAGTAAACGTGAGCACGCAGCCCAGGAAGGAGAGGCAGGCCCAGCCCACACTTCCTCATCCCTGCCCCACACTTTCTCAAGTTGGCTTTCTTCCTTTCACATGGCGAATGGTGCACTCCCCGCCACCTGGCAGAGGACCAGAGTGAGCCTCTGAGAATGCTCTTTGGAAGAAAGTGTTCAGAGAAGGGAACCGAGAGAGGCATAGAGCACACCTGCCATTCTTCCCAGTGAGCCACCTAGCCAAGGGGAGGGGCTTGCAGGCAGCTGGGCCTCGGGGCGGAGTTGATCAAGCCCACGCAGCACTAAGAACAGCCTCTGTGGCTTCTGGGAGCCTGGATGTCTCCCTGCCTGAAGCGGGCAGAGCTCTGGTTGGTTCAAGGGGACCAACCTGAAAAAGAAAGGGACGCGAGGACGGCTCCTGACAGCAGGCTGGGCCTGGGGCCGGGCTCAGGGGGAGGCTGTTGCCCACCATTCCTGCAGCTCCCCACCCGCCCACGGCCTCCTCCTTACGTCCTCCGTGTTTCCTCACTGACTCCCCTGCTGGGACGCCCTCCTCACCAGCTCACCAGCTGCCTCCTCCAGGAAGCCTTCCAAGGCTACAGGGACCCCTCTGCCCTGAGCCGTGGCATCTGCAGTCCCCTGACCCGTGGGTGGATCCTTGGGCTCCTGGGGCAGCCCCCCAATAATAGTCATGGTGGGGTGTAGTGCTCAGCAGCCCCACAGATCCCAGCAGCTGGGTCTTCCCAGCCTGACTCCTCGAAGTTCCTCAAGGGCCCGGCCCTTCTCCACATCACTCCGTCCCCCGGCAGACGCCCTGGCTGGGCAGCGTGCACACTTAGCAGGGCTGGGGCAGCCCGGGGACCAGCTGGCGTGCTCCGTGGGGAGGAAGCGGTCCTGGGCCTGGGCCTGGGCCTGAGCAGACTGGGCCAGCTTAGGCCCTGTGGGACGGGTGGACGGCCATGCTCTGCCGAGTTCCCGAGGACAGACATGAGATCCAGGGCCCCCCTTTCCTGGGCCCCCTCTTCAGGACCCACAGAGCGGGGCTGCCCCCTCTCCAGATCCCAGCTTCTCATTTCGAGCTCCAGCGGGCGCAAGTGGGGCGGCGAGAGGAACTGCCAACACACATTTATCGCTGAAGTCACCTACAAAACAGCGAAACGCGCGTATTTACTGAGCGCCACGAGCAGGGTGCCAGGCGCTCACTTCCCAGCCTCACCACCGAGACAAAAGGCTGCTGGCCTGGCTTCAGAGGACACTGAGGACCCCAGAGGGGAGCGCCAGCCTCGGCATTAGTCCCCCCCACCCCAGGGAGCCGGGTGGCAATGTCTGTCCAGGGGCGCTGCGCTGGAAGGCTCAGTGCCAGATCTTGATGTCACCCTCCCAGGAGCTGGTGGCGAGGACGGAAGGCAGCACAGGGTGGAAGGTGGTGCCCACACAGGCCTGCGTGTGCCCGTGCAGCGTGCGCGCCCGGCTGGCCGTGCGGAAGCAGTAGAGCAGGACCCGGCCGTCGGCGCTGCCCGTCACCAGCAGGTCTCCGTCCGGGGAGCACTCGCAGCCCACCGCGTAGCCTTCCACCTGCAAGGGCGACACGAGGGAGCCCGCGTCACGCCTGTGCGGTGGCGGTCATTCCACCCACCGCAGAGCAGCAGGCAGAGCCCGAGCTCCCCCGAGGCGGGTCCTGTGTGGCCATGTACAGGTTATCTCGTGTACCGGTTACCTCAGTGGTACCCAGGAGGCACAGCTCCCAGCCCAGGGCCCTCCCCCACAGGAGGCAGGTCTCAGTGAGGAAAGGGGGCAGAGCTAGAGACTCTGTCCTGCCCCACCCCTAACCTCTGATACAGGTCCACATGAGTGGAATCAGAGGAAACCTTTCCTGCTGCAGCTGGGGCCCGGGGCAGAGCCAGATACGGCCCAGGCCTTGAGTGGACACCAGGCCACACAGCATGTGGTCACCTGGGAAGCAGAAAACAGAATCCGCTGGATAGAGGTCTGTGCTCTCTGACCCCAAGTCCATGGCTGGCATGGTGTGGCGGCAGGCTCTGGGGCCAGTGCTCAGCCTTCTGGGGGTGAGGGGGGCAGGTAAGCGGTACCTTGTGCCCTTCGTAGCGCCGCCTTCTGCTCATCCGGTAGGGCCACACGGCGGAGAAGAGGGCCAGGTAGTTGCCATTGGTCTGGGCCAGGAACACAGGCTCCCGCGGGTGCAAGGCCAGGCTGGGGCAGGTGTACCTCTCCTGAGAAACAGCGGGCCAGAGAGGGAGAAGGATGCGGGCTGTGCCTGCTGCCTCCGCAGACATGCCCGCCGCCCTGCGCTCTGCTCACAGGCCGTGTGCCCTCCTCCCGGACCTTGGCTTCGGGTCGGTATGAGTTTCCTGCTGCTGCTGTAACCAACTGCCGCCAACTTAATGGCTGGAAACACACAAACTTAGGCTCGTACAGATCTGGAGGTCAGAAGTCTGAGCAGGGTCTCGCCGGGCTAATCATGGTGCCAGCAGGGCTGTGCTCGCTCCGGGGGATCCACTTGTGCTCCTTGGTCCACGGCCCTTGTGGTGGATCTTAAAGGGCCCCCCAAAATGTATCCACGTCCTAATTCCTAGGGCCCGGGAATGACACCTTGCATGTCTTTGCAGAATTAACTAAGTTAAGGATCTTGATGTGGGGAGTTGCCCTGTATTCTTGCCTAAATTCAGCCACGTGTATCCTTCTAAGGGAGGCACAGGGAGAGGAGACGCACACAGGTGATGTGAACCTGGATCAGAGAGTGACCTGCAGATGCTGGTGTAGAGCTCAGGGGGGATGCCCAGTGTCACCAGCAGCCACCAGATGTGAGGCGGCAAGGGACAGATCTGCCCCGCATCTCAGAGGGAGCGGGCCCTGCCAACGCCTGATTCAGCCCAGGGGTACGGAGACAAACGGCTATCCTCAGAAATGTGTGGGGACGCACTGCTGATGGCGGAAGCCTCCCATCTGTGGTACCATGTTGCCCGGGAACAGAGAACGAATGTGCGTGCCCACCCCCCCATTCCACAGGGGGCCCTCAGGGGCAGCCCAGGGCAGGACCCCACACAGTCCACATGCAGCCCGTGAAGAGGTAAATGATCAAGTGAGAAGATAAATGAGAACAGTGTTCAAACCCGGCAGGGACATCTACTGTTTGATGGGCTCAGTCACACAGAAGCGCCCCCGGGAAATCCCTTCTCAGCATCGCCTGTCCTTTCACGTTCTAAGAGCTGCCCAAATTCAGAGGGCAAAGCAGGAGCGGTCGGACTAACAATACCCAGCTGCAGACTAGTGTGCGCACAGAGGCTTGATGCCGTGGCGGCCCCATGAGGAGCTCCCTGCGTGATGCTGCCGGCCAGGAGGTGTGACTCTGGGACGGCTCGGGCCAGCAGCGCTCCACCCACCTCACTCGCTTCCCCTGCTCTCCGCTGGGGCTGATGGAGGCAGGAAGCCCCAGTGGTCAGACGTGCCCCCCATTCTCCTCCCAGGGCCTGCTTTTCCTAGGAGGTTACACTGGACCCTAAAGTGAGGTCTAGAGGCAGGTCTGCTCAGGGTCGCTCAGAACCATCTGAAGACAGTGGTGATGATAGTGATAGTTAAAACGATGATGATGTGGTGGTGGTGGTGGTGATAATGATAGTGATGGTAGTGACGATGGTAACAATGGTGATAGTTATGATGATGATAGTGATAGTAGTGATGATGGTGATGATAATGATAGGGATGGTGGTGATAATGGTGATAGTTATGATGATGGTGGTGGTGATCACAGTGATAATGGTAATTAGTAATGATAGTGGTGGTGGTAATAGTGATGATGTGGGTTTCATCACTATCAGGTGTGGGTTTCTATGTGACAAGGTCTGATGGCGGTGGTGGTGATGATGACGGTGGTGAAGATGACGGTGGTGATGACAGTGGTGATGATGGTGATAATATAGGTAATTTATGAAGCAATCCCTGTACCTGGCACCATTCTAGACCCTTAATAAGTGTTCTTTAAATTCTCAAAACCACTCTATGAGGCAAGTAATATTCTCATCCTCAGTTTTCTAAGTGGACAATGAGAATCCAAACAGCTAAGTAATGGGTCCAGGGCCCCCAGTTTGTCGGTGGTGGATCCAGGACCATCATTCAGGTGGTCTAACTCGAGTTTCTCTGCTTGAACTCCTGAGTCACAGCTCCTGCCAAAGCCACTCAGCAAAGGAGGGCGGAGTTCCATGGCTGGCTGGGGTGGCCGAGAAAGGGTAGGGGTGTCTCGAGCTGCTCGGCCGTCTACCAGTCCATCTGTACTAGCTGCCCCTCCACACCCTCACCCTATGGGATGGCTGGACAGGGCGGGGACGAGTGGGAGGACAGTTAGGGAGATACTGTCATATGGAGCCAGTGGACTTACGCTCGCCTTCCCCTGCCCGAGAAATTTCAGGCAGCCAATCTGTCTGCAAAGATCCTGCCTACTGAACCGTCTCCCACAGGAAGTGATCTGGGACCCGACAACCAAGGGCTACACGGGGCTGAAGCAGAAAGCAATGCCAGTAGGGTTTCTCACATGGAAGATCTGGTTGGAGATTTTGGCGGAGCTCCGGAAATCCCAGGCGATGATGGTACGATCAGCAGAGTCCCGGCTCGAAGCATCTGTGCTGCTCAGAAACTCAGAGCCTTCCTGGAGGAAGAGGATGTCCAAGGTCTGCTGGATGGTCGCCTTGTAGCTTCTCACCACCTGCAAGAGTGGGCGCCTGTCAGGCTGGTGGGCCCAGGAGTACTGGGCAGGCCTCCGCAGGGAGTCAGAGGGCAGGGGCCCGGCCCAGCAGCCCGAGCTGTGGAGTTGGGGGCTGCTGCAGGGAGACCGGGGGCCCTCGGATGCCACCAGGAAAATGTCTGTCTGCACAGGACCTACCCACACCTCCCACAGCCTTGCCTGATAGCACCTCCTCGTGGAGAGTCCCCCTCCCACACTCACCCCACGCCCATTGGTGCGGGGCCCGGGGAGGTGTGATGATCCCCGGTCAGACTGGTCCCCTAGAGAGCGGCAAGCTGAGGGAAGGGCCTGCGCCCAGCCAAGGACACCCAAGGGGCGTCAGGATGTCCATCAACCTGGAGCCATTCTTGCTTCTGAAGACGGCACATAATTCAAGCTCACAAAGTCCCAGCCTATTGCCCTGGAGTAGAAGCTATGTTGCTGGCAGTGAAAGTTCTTGGAGACCATAAAGCCAGAACCATTGTGCAGGTTAGCTTAGACATTGGGGGGAGGGGGTCAAGGCTTGATTTTTATTCCCATAACTAAGTGAAGGGTACAAGAGGGTAGCAGAGCTACCAGCAGTCTGTTTTATTTATTTATTTACTTACTTACTTATTTATTTATTCATTTATTTAGAGCCTTGTTTCCCTTTATTTTTTTATATTAAATTGACTGGGGTGCCATTGGTCAACATGAACATACAGGTTTCAGGTGTGGGTTTCTATGTTATAAGGTCTGTATATTGCACCGTGTGCCCACCACCCAAAGTCACATCTCCCATCTCCATCTATTAGGACCCCCTTCTCCCTCCACCCCTTCCCTCTGGCAGCCACCACACTGCTGTCTGTGTCCACGAGTTTCAGTTTTCTATCCCACCGATGAGTGAAGTCACATGGTTCTTAGCTCTTTCTGTCTGACTTCTTTCACTTAGCATAACGTTCTCAAGGTCCCTCCCTGTTGTTGCAAATGGCGCTGTTTCATCCGTTCTCGTGGCTGAGGAGTATTCCATTGTGTGCACATATCACCGCTTCTGTATCCAGTCCTCTACTGCAGAGCACTTTGGTGGTTCCCATGTCTTGGCCACCGTGAATAATGCTTCAATGAATAGAGGGGTGCATATATGTTCCTGAAGACATGTTTTTGAGGTTTGGGGGTATATCCCCAGGAGAGGGGTTGCTGGGTCACACGGTAGCTCTATTCTTAATGGTTTGAGGCATCGTCAGGCTGCTCTCCATAGCGATTATACCAGCCTACCTGCCCACCAGCAGCGGATAGGGTGCCCTTTTGTCCCACAACTTCCCATGTTCACGTGCCTTTGGTCCTTCCTTTCTAAACACGGGGCTCTTTTTTTAGCGCTGAGTTACTGAAAATGCCAACCAGATTCTCAAATTGGCCAACCAGTTCTTTCCAAATCTGGGTGAGTGTTGGGGGATAGGTTGAGTTTTGTTCTTCCTTTACATTGAATTTTCAACTCACCAATTGATATTTACAAGAGGGAATTTGTTTTTAAAATAAATACTTTTTCTAAATGAATTTTTTTTGTAGTTACTGTTTATGTACCAAGAAATCTATAACTTAGGGATTTTTTATTTTTTTGGAATTTTATTTGTTAATTTTTCTACAAACTTTACCAAAGTTTGCAGCTCATACCTCAACAGAACAGGGATATTTTAAATCACATAACTGCAGACAAACTGGAACAATATTGTTTGAAAGGTTTTTTTCCTCTTTCTTAGGTTGTTAATGTATTAGGAAGAAATGACAAAATCCTGTGTAGGCATTTTCTATAAAGTTCAATATTCTCTGTCCAGATTTTAGATTCTCAGAATAAATGTCTTTTACAGATGAAAAAAAAAAACACCCCAAAAAACAAACAAAAAAACCCACACAGCATTGTGATTATTAGCAATGTGCGTTGTTAAAATAGCATGAGGTGGTAGGATTTCTGCCTTTGCATGCTTCTGCTGGCAGAGTGGGCAGGTTTGATAAACTAACTGGCCTCTGCCATCTCTACTGTTGCTGAGTCTTTGAAATGTTATGTAGTCAAGTGCGGGCACTGGTAGGAGCAGTTGGCATCGCTCTACTCACTGACGGACTCTGAGTTACCTTAAGTGCTCCGGAAAAAGAGCCCGAGGTCACAGTGCCTTGCTCAACGGGGACATTGCTCGCTGCGCAGGCAGCCAGAGAATGAACGGGGTAGAGGAGGCCGCGTTCACTTTGAGACAGGGATCAAGAGTAGTGCAGGAAATAACACAGTGCCCGTAATGTGGCGTTGACTATCTTGTAATTACAATAAAACATTTTAACGATTAAAAAAACACAAACCTGAAGAAGAAGAAAAAAACAACAACAACATTCAACCCCACTGGCAATCAGGGAGTATGATATTAGCTGAGAGTTTATCATATATGTCAAATTCCCATTAAATGCAGCACTCCATCAATCCAATTTAGACTGGAGCGGGTGTGTGTGTGGGGGGGAGGGGGGGCGGCTTAGAGACCCATTCTGCAGATGAGGAACACTGAGGCTCAGAGAGATGCAGGGATTTGCCAAGACCACAGGGCCAACACTTGCTATGGCTTGTCTTGTTGATAATGGCCATGCTAACAGGTGTGAGGCGGTATCTCACTGTAGTTCTGATTTGCATTTCCCTGATTGCCAGTGGGGTTGAATATCTTTTCAATATACCTGTTGGCTCTTCATATGTCTTACTGGGAGAGGAGTGTTTTCAGGTCCTCTGCCCACTTTGTGACTGGCTTGGTTGCTGTTTGGTGTTGAGTGTTGTGAGCTCTTTATATAGTTTGGAGATTAAACCTTTGTCGGAGCTGCTGTTTGCAAATGTCATCTGCCATCTGTTGGCCGCCTCTTTGTTTTGCTGTCCGTTTCTTCTGCTGTGCAGAAGCTTTTTAGTTTCAGTCCCGTTCATTTATTTTTGCCTTTACTTCCTTTGCCTCTGGGGTCAAGTTCATAAAATGTTCTCTGCGACCAAGGTCCACAAGTTTGGTATCTATATTTTCTTCTATGTAACTTATTGTTTGGGTCTTCCATTTAGGTCTTTGGTCCATTTTGAATTAATTTCTGTACCTGGGGGCAAACTGCAGCCCAGTTTCATTCCTTTGCAGGTGGCTTCCCTGTTTTCCCAGCTCCACTTATTGAAGAGACTACCTTTACTCCAATGTGCATTTCTGGCTCCTTGTCGGAAATTATCTGTCCAGCCCCACTGGAGGGACTCAGTGGCTGAGTGTCCTATGAACCAGGAGGTCACGGTTCAATTCCCGGTCAGGGCACATGCCCGGGTTGTGGGCTCGATCCTCAGTGTGGGGCATGTAGGATGCAGCCGATCAATTATTCTCTCTCATCATTGATGTTTCTACCTCTCTCTCCCTCTCCCTTCCTCTCTGAAATCAATAATATATATATATGAAAATTATCTGCCCATGTACTAGTACATTTGGTTTTAAAGCTGAGCTCTCTATTCTGTTCCACTGATCTGTGTGTCTGTTTCTCTGCCGATACCAAGCTGTTTTGATTATCGTGGCTCTGTAGTATAATTTGAAGTCAGGTAGCTTGATACCTCTAGTTTTGTTCTTTTTTCTCAGGATTACTTTGGCTATTCAGGATCTTTTGTGGTTCCATACAAATCTGATGATTTCTCATTCTATTTCTTTTAAAAATGACATTGGGATTTTGATGGGGATTGCTTTAAACCTGTATATTGCTTGGAGTAATACAGCTATTTTAACTATGTTGATTCTTCCAACCCATGAATACAAGATATTTTCCCATTTTGTTGTGTCTTTTTCAATTTCTTTTAATAATGCTTTGTAATTCTCAGTATGTAGGTCTTTCACGTTCTTTGTTAAATTTATTCCTAGGTATTTTATTCTTTGGGTTACAATTTCAAAAGGAATTTTTCTTCTTTTTTTTTCCTAAAATTTTGTTGTTAGTATACAGGAAGGCAATAGATTTTTGGAAACTGATTTTGTATCCTGCAACTTGACTATATTTGTTTATTGTTTCTAATAGTTTTCTGGTAGAGTCTTTAGGGTTTTCTATATATAAAATTATGTCACCTTCAAAAAGTGACAGTTTGACATCTTACTTCCCTATTTGGATGCCTTTTATTTCTTTCTCTTGCCTTATTCCTCTGTCTAGGACTTCCAGCACTATGTTGAATAAGAGTGATGAGTGGACATCCTTGTTTTATTTCTGATCTTAGAGAAAAAATGTTGTTTTTCATCACTGAGTACGATCTTAGCTGAGAGTTTATCATATATGGCCTTTATTATGTTGAGGTACTTTCCTCCTATTACTATTTTAGTGAGTGTTTTAATCATAAATGAATGTTGTATCTTATCAAATGCTTTTTCTGTATCTATTGATAAGATCACGTGACTTTTATCCTTTCTTTTGTTAATGTGGCCTATTACACTGATTGACTTTCATATGTTAAACCATCCTTGTGCCCCTGGAATAAACCCCACTCGATTGTGATGTATTATTTTTTGGATGTACTGTTGTATTTGATTTGCTAGTATTTTGTTTAGGATTTTTGCATTTGTATTCATCAGAGATATTGGTCTATAGTTTTCTTCTTTTGTGTTATCTTTGCCAGGTTTTGTATCAGAGATATACTGGCTTCATAGAATTTGTTAGGAAGTAGTGTCTCTTCTTCAATTTTCTGTAAGAGTTTGAGAAGAATAGGCTTTAAATCTGCTTTGAAATTTTGTATATTTCACTAGTGAAGCCATCTGGTCCTGGATTTTTATTTTTTGATGGTTGTTTCAATTTCCTCACTGCTGATCAGTCTATTTAGATTTTCCAATTCTTCATGTTTTAGTCTAGGAAGGTTAGATATTTTTAGGAGCCAATCCATTTCTTCTAGGTTATTGAATTCGGTGGCACATAGTCTTTCATAATATTCTAGTATGATCCTTTGTATATCTATGATGTAAAGACATTTTTCTGTCTTAGCATCATCG